CTCTGCTTTATACACCATCAATCTGCTGTCCAGGCCAGGGTAACAACGGTGTCTGGGCCAGATTCTTTTCTGTGAACGCACCTAACCACGTTCTTTGTGGATGGCTACCGAAGAGTGGTCAGTAATGCCGTTCGTGTGTAATCGTGGTCATCTACTGGAGCAAGTAGTCGACCTTCATAGATTACGTTGGTTGGGGCATGTGTTACGCATGTTACCGAATAGGTCGCCACGACCAGCGATGTTTGCCGTAGTGGATGGAAAAAGATCAAGGGAGGTCAAACAAAAACATCCTGCCATAAGGGTATGAAAATCCTAACTAGGTGACTAGGTCACATAGGTCCCGTTCGGCTTCCTGGCTGGGGACTCCAAGATCATGATCACCGATGGTTAGAAACACTGAGCGATATCGGTGGGTTTCGTAAACAGTGGTGATGATGTATCTACTCATTATTCTTGTAACTTCAATCTATGTCAGTACCCTATCTTCTGATTGAATCTGCTCTAAACATGCTAATCATCATTCTGGTGTGTTTATCCAAATGGGTAACCAAAAGACAGCGACCAAAACCGGCGCACTAATGTGCATGATTAATGGTTGTAAGAACTGAACTGAACTGTTCAATCTAAAGCACACGACAAGTGCACGTGAAAGAATAAGGCAGTGTGTCTTTTGTTTGCTGAATCACCAAGAGTTCCGTGGTAGTGAGAGCTGTAGAGAACGTTCTAGAGCTCAATTTAGATAGACGTACTTTGAGAAATTCCACTATGTCGGCGCGCCTCGGAATCAGAGCGATAATATAAACTCTCTTCCGGGGAGCCGTTTAACTTTTGATTATATTGTAATTCAATCGTGTGTTTATCAATAAAGGCTTCTGGATAACCATTTTACCAAATAACATCAAAATTATCTCAGATTGCAATCTATCCCCACCACCGTGAATCGTGCGCGCTCAGTACGAGAACACCTGACCCGAGTTGGTAAGTATTTCGGGGGTGGGTGGGAGACGGGAGACCAAAATGTATATACTGTCCACTCCACGTGTTTGTGTGAAGACGCCTCGTCTAATAGGTCAGTTCAGTTCAGTTCAGTTTAAACAACAACCATGAAGCATGCATTTCCATGCTTTTGGTTGCTCATTTGGGTGAACAATTGGAGAAAAACAGGAAGGTTAAAAGTAGAACCAAGGAGAAAATTTAGGATTTCAGTGGACTAATGTTACGAACAAATTGAAAAGATGCACGATCGCCAGTGTTTACGACACCCAGCCATATTGTTCAGTGTGTCTAGCCAATGGTTCCGATCATCCCGAGGTCCCCATAGAAAGGAGCCTAACGGGACATATGTGACCCAGACTCCTGGATAGGGTTTTGGCACCCTCATGCCAGGTCTCAGTATGACCACACTTGGTTTTATTCCATCCACCGTTGTCTCGCTTTGTTAATACTCACAACTTTCATTAACGTTTCAATCGGCCCATCTGTTCACCGTGATTTCATCTGACCTTTACCCTCTCAACCAATCAGAAATCAGTAGTCTGTGTAATCTCTGAATGGGATATGAGAAAAAGAAATTACTATGGCAACATCGTTTGCCACATTGTGTATGAGTATATTCTACGGTCAACGGTTCCAACCCCTCGGGAGACGAAAGAATGCATGCTCTGTCTCTCAGACGAGCTCTGCAAACTGACTCTGAACTACGCATACAATACAACACAACAATTGTAATGGATCAAATTAGTGGATAAGCATGAATGAGGATAATTTAAACAGCCTGCTTTTGTTATGATGGAATCAACCATGACGAGCGAGCGCACGAATCTGCTTTTGGCCACATCAGGAAGTGCCCGAGTTGAGGCATGCGAAAAGCAAATGATGCGTTCCTTACTTTGAGTATCTTTTGAAATGGTATTTCGTAGAAGCATCAGTCCCTTTGTATGCCTCTCAAATCTCACAGGTTCTTTCTATGCGGTGTCCATTCCGCCTGATCCGAAAGGGTTCGGTCACCCTAAAATGTCTCTTCCTACAGCATGACCTCTCTCTGATCTGAGTCATCATTGTACAGCGTAATACAGTCAAGCGAATTTCACTGATCGCTGATTTGGGAGTCTATTGCCTATCGTGTAACCAGAAACAACAGCTATTAAAGTGTTTCTCGGGGTACGGTTTGAGATGAACCACTATCACAGTATACCTGGGATCAACAGATTTGATTCGAAAATCAGTTCAACCGGACTACTAAGCAACTACTCACCGATGGTGTCAGAGTCGTTCCGGGGCGCATTGTTCCAAAGCATCGGGAATAGATGAACTTCTGATTTTCGGAAATTTTGCAATATTGCCGTAAATAGTCCATCGGAGTCATACCTATTGAGAAAATGAACCCGACGGGAGGAGGAGGAGGAGACGGAGACACTGCGGATGTTCACGGTTTTGAACTAGGGCATTGTACGGCCTCTAATGTACTTTATTCTCACTGCTTTCATCAGACAGTACTAACATTTGGATGAGCG